GCTCCCTATACAAGCACGCATTGACTACAAGTTGTCTGTTCTCTGTCACAACTTTTCTTGGATTCCTGCCCTTCATATCTAACCAAACTTCTTTCTGTCTATTCACCCCTTCGCCAGCTTCGCTCCTATGCAGACACGCGTATTCTGTCCGTTCCCAAGACACACAATAAAACATATGGTGAACGATCTTTCTCTTTCTGCGCCCCCAAACAATGGAATTCTTTGCCACTACACATACGCAATATACCAACCACACAGGCCTTCAAAACTGCACTCAAAACATATCTTTTTAAATTATACTACCCTGACTGATTCCCCTCCTCTGACCGATAAATGATCTTGCTGGCTACCGTCCATGGTTTGCCTTGTAAAAGTTATGTGGTGGTGTTGGTGAATATACATTGCTGTACTTTATTTCATAAATGTATTTTATTTTAATGTCATGATTATGTCTCTTTTGATAACATTTTTATGCACAGCGCGGTGTACCACGCTATATAAGACCTCTTATTATTATTATTATTATTATATTGCTATACTTCTTTACCTCTGAAACGCCAAAAACGTGTCAAGTCGTCTGAGATCGGCGAATTTGTTCTCGAGTTGGAAATATTACACTGCTTGAACTCAACCAGGAAGTTTTAACTGAATATTAAATACACGTGAGGCTTTTCTTTTTATTTGCTCTTTGAAAAAGATAAATTTTTTGTATAATACATTTGTTTAAGCTAAGGGAAAACTAATCTCCTGGCTGTCACAGGAAATTGACCACCCCATCAACATGGAATGTCAGCCTGGACACATTCTTCTGTGGTTCGGGAGATGGTGGGGGAATTTCTTCTTTCTCAAGCTGTCAGATTTTGTGTCCCCATTCTTAGTCGTCGTTTAGAAAATTATACAGTTATTCGTCGGTCTGCCTGGTCCATTTTGTTTAATTGAAATTACTTGTTGTAATGTTGACGTGTCCTCAAAACAAAATAGTTACATTAAGTAACATATTTATATTCATCAATATTTAGAGATTTGCATTTTTTTTTTGTTTAGCTACCCTTTGTTTGTAAGCCATCGGCGGCGACGTTTCTTCTGTGGAAGGGGGGGGGTCCACCGTCTAAAATAGTAAATACAAAACGCAACGCAACACATAAAAAAATAAAAATAATGTGTCTTAATCAAGTTATTATAAACACTATATAATATTTGATTAAAAATAGTTAAATTAAGTAAATTATTTATATTCATCAATATTTAGAGATTTTCATTTTTTTTTTGTTTAGCTACCCTTTGTTTGTAAGCCATCGGCGGCGACGTTTCTTCTGTGGAAGGGGGGGGGGTCCACCGTCTAAAATAGTAAATACAAAACGCAACGCAACACATAAAAAAATAAAAATAATGTGTCTTAATCAAGTTATTATAAACACTATATAATATTTGATTTTTTTTTTCTTGTTTTTTTTTTCTCTTACTGTATTCATTGTTTGGGAAAACTCGTTGCTAGTCTTTGATGCTTCGTCTCATGATCATAATCAGAATTAAAGGGTTTTAGGTTTCAGCGACACCAGTTTGCTGCCCCCCACTGCCAACATATACTGAGCGCCCTGAAGGTTTAATGTCGCTTTGTGTCCTGGGCTACGCATGTCACACATTAAGCATTAATACGCGAGCACTACAATATGCTTAAGACCAATTTACTCAATGTGTTAGAGTGCACGATGGATGTATTTTGCGGGTGTATGTTAAACCAGTAAGATTTTTTTAATAGAAAAAAAACAAAACAATATATCTTTTTAAATCTTTTTTTTTTTTTATCTTCAAGGATTTTCTTCGGACGCTGCTATGTGACTGGCTCGTTTGCACCCGCCATTTATCTATATTTATACATTAGTGTGCTGAGATGGCACAGCGTCTACGAATACATCAATCATGTTGGGGTCGACTTGACTCCTTAAAGAATGCCTACCTTACTGAGCTAATTAACACAGTCGTCGGAAAATCGCTCGCGAGCCGCATGCGGCACTTAAGCGACCTGAGTGCGGCTTGAGCTGTCAGCCAAACAAATCAGTTTTAAATCCGAAAAATATGGCTCTTGACAGGTTCTTGAAAAGAAATTTGGCTCCGAAATTTTTTTTTAATCGTCCAGCTGCTGATTTTTGGCTGTTTTGACTGATGATTTTTCCGACCACTGGACTAATATATCCACCCGTCTATTTAAGACTTGTTGGGACAACCCAAAGCAGTTATAACGGGCTGCCTTCGGCTGAGAGGCACATAACGTTAACATGGCGTCGCAACGCTGCCTGATTTAAAAAAAGTAACGGATAAATTAATACGTTAAGCCCCTTCTATCAAAAATTACAAAAGCATTGAACATAAAAAATGAAAAAAAACAACTTTACTTAATTATAATTTTTTCGGTTTTTTTCAATCTTTATCAAATGAGTGTTATATTTACCAAAGCCATATTGAGATTTACCAGCCCCAGATTGACATTGACCAACCGAAGGATAAAATTTACCAACCCCAAGTGACATTTACCAACCCCAGATTGACATTTACAGACCTCAGATTGACATTCACCAAATTGACATCTTCCAACCCCAGAATCCCAGATTGACATTTAACAACTCCATATTGACATTTACCAACCCCAGGTTGACATTTACCAACCCCAGGTTGACATTTACCAACCCCAGGTTGACATTTACCAACTCCAGATTGACATTTACCAACCAAAGATTGACATTTAGCCAAGAAAACGTTAAATGGTATGCATAGGTATCATTTAGGTATGTTTTTCTTTTTTTCCACTAGTTTGTTGCTGCTGTTCATCTTCGTTTTTCGTTAAATCTTTGAGAAACCGAAACTGTAAAAGTTCCAGTAGCCTTCACCACCAGGATGTGGTTTGGCAGCAGCCATATCCGGTGTACACCATTCAGCAACTTTCGTGACCAGGATGTTCTTTTTTTAATTTTTTTTTTTTTTTTGCAGTAGCCGTATCCGGTGTAGAAATACAATTTAATGTTAAGTGACCTTGACACCTTTCAGTTCCATTGGTTAAAGTAAAAGATTAAAGTCCTGGTTTGTTGTTTAAAAAAAACAAAAACAAATAGAGAATTGGTTATCTCTTTTCTTGGAATGCTCTTGATGATCCAAGCAGTCCGGGGGAATGACAAACATCAGGCAGACATGTGCAAGTAACTGAGGACGGAGATGAGTTGTAATTAAGATGAATAGAAACTTGGAGATTGGATGTGTTTAAGATGGATAGAAACTTGGAGATTGGATGTATTTAAGATGGAAAGAAACTCTGAGATTAGATCCGTGTACGATGAAAAGAAAGTTGAAGATTGGATGTGTTTCAGTTGGAAAGAAACATGGAAATTGGATGTGTTTAAGATGAAAAGAAACATGGAAATTGGATGTGTTTAAGATGGAGAGAAACTTGAAGATTGGATGTGTTTAAGATTGATAGAAACTTGAAGATTGGAAGTGTTTAAGATGGATAGAAACTTGAAGATTGGATGTGTTTAAGATGGAAAGAAACTTGAAGATTGGATGTGTTTAAGATGGATAGAAACTTGAAGATTGGATGTGTTTAAGATGGATAGAAACTTGAAGATTGGATGTGCTTAAGATGAAAAGAAACTTGAAGATTTCGATGTGTTTAAGATGGATAGAAACTTGAAGATTTCGATGTGTTTAAGATGGATAGAAACTTGAAGATTTGATGTGTTTAAGATGAAAAGAATCTTGAAGATTTAATGTGTTTAAGATGAAAAGAAACTTGAAGATTTAATGTGTTTAAGATGGAAAGAAACTTGGAGATTGGATGTGTTTAAGATGGGATGAAAAGTCAAGTACACATCTGTTTGAGGTATTAATGACTAATTTCATTGACTCGGTTAGAAAAGGCAGGCCTGCACAACACCCACTTTACGGCCGGCGAGTAACGAAATATTTGTTAGCATTTTATTAATAGCTCCCCCACTTTGCCCTATTGTTTTCGGCCCGCCTTAAATCTTCACCTGTGCAGGCATTGTGATAAGGTTATAAATCATTTACATAAAAAGATGCCTTTGGGTTAAAAGGCTGTTGCAGTTTTAAAATGACACTTTGCCGGAGTCAAAGTTTAGCCACTGAGGCCAAGAGATGACTTCAGAAGGAAATCTCGTGTAATTATCCTGGAATGTTGAAAGTGTTGGAATGTAAATAGCTTTGCTACAACATCTTGAACTGGTGAAAGTGTTGAAAAAGTGGGTCGTTGTATTTACAACATCCCAAACTGTTGAAAGAGTTGGGGCGGAACAAAAAAAAAAAGTTGTATTTACGTTATTTTATTTGCATGTGGCTGGTTGAGTGTTTGATCTACTCATTCCAAAACAAAGAAATTCAAAACCCTATTTTCAGAAAGCTTTGATTTAAGAGTACACTGGTACAAGTTGGGAATTCGATAAGATCATTTAAGAGGATGACCACGTTCCACAACATGTCTTTAATTTCCATGAACTAGCCCTCATGTGGTTGTCTTCTGGTTGTCTTCTGGTTGTCTTCTGGTTGTCTTCTGATTGTCTTCTGGTTGTCTTCTGCTTGTCTTCTGGTTGTCTTCTGGTTGTCTTCTGATTGTCTTCTGGTTGTCTTCTGGTGTCTTCTGGTTTTCTTCTGGTTGTCTTCTGGTTGTCTTCTCTGTTGTCTTCTGGTTGTCTTCTTTCTCTTTTTGTTTAATACGCCAATACACGTATTCTCTGCGTTTTTTCAGGTCAACGTCCGGATCTTAATAAAAAAAAAGAACGATCCCTTTATCTTGAAAGGGATCATCTCTATTTCATTGATTTCAATGTTTCGGGCTCCGAACTTTTTGCGTTAGGAATCGAGTTCTGGAACAATTTAAGTTCGTAACCCGAGGTACCACTGTAGTATTAGACTACATGTTCCATACAAAACAAAGCGATGTCTAAATGATTCAAGGCTCAATTAACGAAAATAATAATGTCGAAGCATTCAGTGTTTCGTTAATTCCATCCCATTTTAACAACACAAAATAACAGATAAATAACGCTTAAATATATCTTAATATCATCTAAATAATACCCAAATAACACATACATAATATATACATAAAATCCTAAATAATATCTCAAAAACACCCAAATAACACTCAAATAGTATCTAAATAAAATCCTAAATAATATCTAAACAACACCCAAATAAGACCTATGAAGAAAATATCATTTGGTGGGGAAATTTGAGGAAAGGATAGCCAAAACTAATTATTTCTGCCCTGTGGGTGTATGATTGCTTCCCTCCGGTTATATGATGGATGCTCTGTGGATATATCATTACTGCCCTCCGGTTATATATTTGCTGCCCTCTGGCTATATAATTGCGGCCCTCTGAAGATATTATTGCTACCCTCTGACTATACGATTGTTGCCCTCTCGCTGTATGATTGCCGCACTCCTGCTGTTGGGGTCCAATTCCATTTGGTTTAATTTTTTTTTTAAATTAAAGTGCGTACCGTACCGTATAGACTTATATAAAAATAATATATATACAGTAAATAAGCATGAATATATCATGCTCCAAGGTGATGATACTCTTCCACTTCACTTCATTGCTTTATTGGTGAACTCTCTCCCTCTCCATGACTCGAAACAACATTCACCCGTGCCTTAGGGTATCGAGGCTCTCCATTTGATATCGATCCCGTACAGGAGCGTATCCCACCATGTCTCGCAGTGGAGGTTGAACCCGGCGGTCGTCAGGTCACGGACAAAGTACTTGAATCTTAAGTTGAATCCTTTGTCCACATCCATCTCCTGCAAAGTGCACACGACGGTCGGCAGCTTGGAGAAGGTTTTGGTGAACTTAACATACACCACACGGCGTTTCAAGGTGGGTTCTCCGGTGGGTTGAAAACTCGTGGAGCTTCCGCAGTAAACAACCCCCTCCTCCACGACGTAGCTGTCAAGTGAGTTCTGTATCGCCGTCAGGTCGGTGCGAAGAGCCGATGCCCCTGTCTCCAATCTTTTTAGATCCTCGGCGGTGGCTGCGTCTTGGGTCTTCAAGATGTCGATCTGCCCCTGCAAGTAAGATTGTGAATTGTTCAATGACAGTCTGATGGCTGTGAGTTCTGTATTTAAGCTTTTTTCGCATTCTTGCACTCCTGTTTCGGTCTGTGAGAGTCTGTCCTCTAATTCGATGATGTACTGGAGAATGTCCTCTTCGTTAGGACGCTGATGACATACGTAAGTATTTGATTTGTACAGGACACCACGGCCAGCATTATCCGTCGCGTTGATCGTACACGTGTAGATCCCGGCCTGGTTTATCCCCGGCTTGGTCCACGTCAACTGCAGATAGTTGGAGTCCACGCCTGGAGTTAAATTACCACGGACCGTGAGAGTGTCCACGTCTTCTGACGCAACAGCCGGCTGCCGAGATGAAATTGCCGCGATCGTGGTCTTGTCATCTGAAAATAAAATCATCAAAATTAATCTTATTATTTAGAGAGAGTGTTCACGTATGAGTTGACTGAAATGATTGTTTTCAGCATCAGCAAGGTTGAAAATGTATCTATTTGTTGCATGTGATTATAACTGTGATTATAACTGTGATTATAACTGTGATTATAACTATAAACTTAAAAATTATGTTTGTTAATCAAGGATGTACATACAGATACGGAAAAAAGCATACATACATACAAAGATACATACATAACTATATCTATCTATCATCCATCTATCTATCATCTATCTATCTATCATCTATCTATCCATCTATTTATCATCTATCTATCATCATCTATCTATCATCATCTATCTATCATCATCTATCTATCATCATCTATCTATCATCATCTATCTATCATCATCTATCTATCATCATCTATCTATCAGCATCTATCTATAAGCATCTATCTATCGTCTATCAATCTATCATCTATCAATCTATCATCTATCAATCTATCAATCTATCAATCAATTAATCTATCAATCTATCAATCTATCAATCTATCAATCTATCAATCTATCAATCTATCAATCTATCAATCTATCTATCTATCTATCTATCTATATATATCCATCTATCTATCTATAATACTTATCTATCTTATCTATCTAATCTTATCCTATCTTATCCTATCTTATCCTGTCTTATCCTATCCTATCCTATCCCATCCTATCCCATCCACCCATCCATCAATCCATCCTATCCATCCTATCCATCCTATCCATCCTATCCATCCAATCCCAACTATCCTACCTATCCTATCCTATCCTATACATCTATCAATCTATCCATATATCCAATCTATCCATCTATTCAATCTATCCATATATCCATCTATCGATCTATCTATCTATCTATCTATCTATCTATCTATCTATCTATCTATCTATCTATCTATCTATCTATCTATCTATCTATCTATCTATCTATCTATCTATCTATCTATCTAATCCATCTCTCCATATATCTATCTATCTATCCTAGTCTAGTCTATCCTAGTCTAGTCTATCCTAGTCTAGTCTAGTTTATCCTAGTCTAGTCTATCCTAGTCTATCCTAGTCTATCCTAGTCTATCCTATCCTAGTCTATCATATCCTAGTCTAGTCTATCCAGTCTAGTCTATTCTAGTCTAGTCTAGTAAAGTCTAGTCTATCCTAGTCTAGTCTATCCTAGTCTAGACTATCCTAGTCTAGTATATCCTAGTCTAAGCTATCCTAGTCTATCCTAGTCTATCCTAGTCTATCCTATCCAAGTCTAGTCTATCCTAGTCTAGTATATCCTAGTCTAGTATATCCCTGTCTAGTCTATCCTAGTCCAGTCTATCCTAGTCTAGTCTAGTCTGTCTGTCTGTCTAATCCGTCTAATCTGTCCCATCTATCCAATCTATCCAATCTAATCTATCTAATCTAATCTATCTAATCTAATATATCTAATCTAATCAATCTAATCTATCTAATCGAATCTATCTAATCTATCTGTCTAATCTATATCATCTAATCTATCTCATCTAATCCATCTAATCTAATCCATCTAATAAAATCCATCTAATCTAATCTATCTAATCTAATCGATCTAATCTAATCTATATAATCTAATCTATGTAATCTAATCAATCTCATCTAATCTATCTAATCTATCTAATCTAATATATCTAATCTAATCAATCTATCTAATCTAATTTATTTAATCTAATCTATCTAATCTAATCAATATAATCTAATCAATCTAATCTAATCAATCGATCTAATCTATCTAATCTTATCTAATCTATCTAATCTAATCTATCTAATCTAATATAATCTAATCTATCTAATCTAATCTATCTAATCTAATCTATCTAATCTAATCTATCAGATCTAATCTATCTAATCTAATCTATCTAATCAAATCTATCTAATCTAATCTATCTAATCTAATCTATCTAATCTAATCTTTCTAATCTAATCTATCTAATCTATCTAATCTAATCTAATCTATCTAATCTAATCTATCTAATATAATCTATCTAATATAATCTATCTAATCTAATCTATATAATCTAATCTATCTAATCTAATCTATCTAATCTAATCTATCTAATCTAATCTATATAATCTATCTAATCTAATCCATCTAATCTAATCTATCTAATCTAATCTATCTAATCTAATCTATCGTATCTTATCTATCTTATCTAATATATGTTATCTAATCTATCTAATCTAATATATCTAATCTAATCTATCTAATCTAATCTTTCTAATCTATCTAATCTAATATATCTAATCTAATCTATCTAATCTAATCTATCTAATATAATATAATCTATTTAATCTAATCTATCTAATCTATCTAATCTAATCTGTCTAATATAATCTATCTAATCTATCTAATCTATATAATCTAATCTATCTAATCTAATCTATCTTATCTAATCTATCTTTTCTAATCTATCTTATCTAATCTATCTAATATATCTAATCTAATCTATCTAATCTAATCTATCTAATCTAATATATCTAATCTAATCTATCTAATCTAATCTATCTATCTATCTATCCAATCTAATCTATCTAATCTAATCTAATAGATCTAATCTATCTAATCTATCTAATCTAATCTAATCTATGGAATCTATCTAATCTATCTAAATTATCTAATCTATCTAAATTATCTAATCTATCTAATCTATCTATCTGTCTATCTATCTATCTAGCTATTAGCTATTTAACTATGCAGCTATGTAGCTATCTTTTTTTCTAGCTATCTAATCTTATCTAATCTAATCTAATCTAATTTAATCTAATCTAATCTATCTATCTATCTATCTATCGATATATCCATGTATCTTAGCTATCTAATCTTATCTAATCTAATCTAATTTAATCTAATCTAATCTAATCTAATCTAATCTATCTATCTATCTATCGATATATCTATGTAATCTATCTATCTATCTATCTATATATCTATCTATCTATCTAATCTATCTATCTATCTATCTATTAATCTATCTATCTAACTATATATATATATATATATATATATATATATATATATATATATATATATATATATTGAAATAATGCCTTTAAAACTTAGCATTCAAAGACAATGAACTGAGATCATACGGTAGAGAAGTTTAAACTTTGTCACGTCATGAGTCATGACGAGGTTGTAAGGTGTAAGAAAGAACCTACATTACCTCGTTTTACTGAGATTGAATTTACAGTCATTGTAGACAGCCCAGCTCTGCTTTGTGCAGCATCGTCTCCTTGGTGGGCGTACTGGTAATAAAGTGAGACATTTGGATGACTGCATTGATGTGTTTTGTTCCAGCGTTCATTTTAGGATACAGATTTTCTTGGTTGTTGTTGTTTTTAAAAAGTGAAATGAAATAAATAGAGCCGCATGACAACTGGTGAGGTTATTGTCTATGAGTGGGACTGCAGTCAAGCCATGTGAAGGAAATTGCGGAACAAGATTATGTTTAGACTTGAGATAAAAAAAACACTGGACATTGATGAAACGATCGTTATGCTTGAGACTTAGTTTAAGTTATAACTTATCACTTCCTATTCTATAATAGAGCGCAGTCGAGGTTTCCGTTGCCGTAGAGATGGCTCTTGCTCTATGCCACATAACACCCAGCAAAGGGTGGTTGCCATTTAGGTGTTAAGCTCATGACCTATTATTATTATTATCATTATTATTATTAGTGCTTTTCAATAGTGCGGTACCCCAAGCTAGAGCTGGGCTCACCACGCTGTACATACATTTTAACAAACATAATCATGAACTTAAAAATCAACATACCGGTACATTAATTTAAAAAAACAAAACAAAATTTGATTTATATTCACTGCACCCATTCCAGAACTATGTGCATTGCAGAAAACCTTTTAATATATGGGACGTGATTCGCTAAGACTGGTGCTCTATAAAAATATCCCCGGTCGCTGCCCCTTTCAAACACATACGATGCATAAGGGAAAAAATTGATTTGCTTGTTATATTCCAATAGGGTGTAAATGCTTTGACATTTTGAATGGCTTCTATTTAGCTTAAATGAGTCATTAAAATATCGAATTAGTTCCTTTAGTTTAAAACTGTATGGTGGTTTATTAATTTTCTTTAAAAAAAAATAATTTTTAGTTTTTTTGTTAGTTTTTTATTCGCGTTTTTTTTTTCTACATTATTACACTAACATTACATATCTACCTGGAGGGAACATCTCATCTGCAGTGTCTTCGTGAGTCCATCTTTGATGGAGGCCGGCTCAGCTATCAGTGATATGTCTGATGCTGTAAATTTGTGATAATAGTATAGCATTACTTTTAAGGTTATTTTGAAAGGTTTCCTTTTTTTTGTTTTTTTTATTGAAATGTTAAATGATGAATGGTAAAAGTAAAGGATAAATTCATCCTAACTTTTAATAATAAAACTGAACATCTAGTACCCAAAAAATGCTGTTGTTTTATGTCCCTGATCACCGTTTACTAAAACAGACCCAAATAATGACGGGCTAGTGTTAGCTAATTGTAAAAGAGTTTGATTTAGGACATTGTTGCCTTCTCTGACGATGCCGAGGATGTTGAGTCTTCACCGTTATAACATTGTAACAGCGGTCTGCTGGCTGACAAAAAAAGCGCTTTAAAGACACATAAAAGTCTCACTGAAAGCGTTCAACATAAAATACACGTGGGAGGAACAAGCAAAGGATCGAACTTCATCGCATTCCACTTTGCACAGTAGTTCCATGCAACATCAAGTTGGCAGAAGAGCGGTTGCAGAGCGCATGTGACATGCCAAGGAGGCCCGCTCTGACTCTTCTCCCGGAGATGCGCCATCATCCCCCTGCACCTACCGCACAAGAGAATTTCGTGCCAGAATCGGCCTCATTAGCCATCTGCGCACCCACAGACATAACCAGCACAAAAACCCTGATGATTAAAGTGGTCATGGTCGACTCCCGACTGACGAACAACAACAGCATTGTAATAAAACAACACACCCGAGTAGACGAAATGGTAAGGCCATGAGTGAGCTCAACCTCGCTTACAACCAACCACACACCCTTTCCAATTTTTAAAGTAAAATTCAAACCAACAACAACGAAAATCGCAACAAATCAATAATTTATTTTTTAAAATTTGTTTTTTTTTAGCATAAATTTATATTTACTGTTCAACCAATAGCATTAGCAATTAAATCAATTTCAGCTTATTTCATATTAGTTCGTTTTATTTTTAATTTGTTTTTACTGGCATCAAAAGAATGTACAATAATAATTCCCGAGTGAATGTTTTACTGTCCACTCCACACTCATTGCGCACCATGCTGCGCTCTCATTCGCTGTCTCCCACTCCCCACCCAGTCGTGCGATTGGTCACCTACGCACCAAACGCACGCAAAAGAGCATCTAGATGAACAACTTTGATGCAGTGAGTGAGTATCCTTAAAAGTACCTGGCCGTAATTGTGAATATGATCTCTAACCGAGGAATGTACAGTATTCTAAACATCTATCATGTGTGCGTTGCCCCAGCTAGTACTTAAATGAAATCAGATATCATCAAAATATGATATAAAAATGTTGCAATAAATATCATTAAAGTATAAAAAGGCTAACAGCTTAAAATGATATACAAACCTTCAATCACAAACACCATCACGAAAATGCAAATTAAACCAAAGCTCATCTTATTAGAGTTTACCATCTTCGATTTTTTTTTCAATAGAAACCTCTCGAGTCAATCAGTTTAGCTAATCACCAAATCTTTACGAAAAGTAAAGTTACTAAGCTAGATGCTTTCTTTTTGTAAATATAAGCAATTATTGTAACGCAATCCTGTGATGGATTTCCTCTAGAGTCAATTCAGTCATGCAATGACATCGTCAGTTTTGAAATTTAAGTCAAGTTCAACTGTCGTTGGCTGAATGAGAAAGTTGTGAATTTCGTTACAAACTTGTGTCCCACTTTTATATCTTGAAAAACGCCCCACAATCCACTGACACGTCACCGACAATCCCACAACAGAAGCACCGATGTACGGAACAACAACCAGGCTCTTTCCTGTGTGGGTCGAGGGGGTGGGGGTGGGGCGTGTGACAGGCGGTTGTGATCTATGTTGTAAACTAATACACTATATTGTAACTATATATAGGATCTGCTGAAATGTCCTTGTTACTCATTTAACTGAACGGGTATTTAGGTCATGGAGAACTGATAATGCGATAAAAATTTACGATGAGTTTCTTACCTGGCAAACAAAAATCCCTCGTCCTACCAACAAACCCAGAACTTGGTCCAGGCCAGCAGCCCAATCCCCTGTCTGTAGGACCACATGTGCATTGTAGTTCAGGCTAACAGTGCAATCCCCTGTCTATAGGACTACATGTACTTCGTAGTTCAGGCCAGCAACACAATCTCCTGTCTCTAGGACTACATGTACTTTGTAGTTATGGCCAGTAATGCTTCCACCCTGTCTCTAGGACTACATGTACTTTGTAGTTCAGGCCAGCAATCCAACACCCTGTCTCTAGGACTACATTTACTTTGTAGTTCAGGCCACCAATGCAACCCCTTGTCTATAGGACAACATGTACTTTGTAGTTCAGGCCAGGAATGCAACTTCTATCTTTAGGACTTCATGTACTTTGTAGTTCATGCCAGCAATGCAACCCACAGTCTCTAGGACTACATGTACTTTGTAGTTTAGGCCAGCAATGAAACCCCCTGTCTCTAGGAATACATGTACTTTGTAGTTCAGGCCAGAAATGCAATCCCCTGACTCTAGGACTACATGTACTTTATAGTTTAGGCAAGCAATGCAACCCACAGTTTCTAGGACTACATGTACTTTGTAGTTTAGGCCAGCAATGAAACCCCCTGTCTCTAGGACTACATGTACTTTGTAGTTCAGGCCAGAAATGCAATCCCCTGACTCTAGGACTACATGTACTTTATAGTTTAGGCAAGCAATGCAACCCCCTGTCTCTAGGAATACATGTACTTTTTAGTTCAGGCCAACAATGCAACCCCCTGTCTCTAGGACTACATGTACTTTGTAGTTCAGGCCAGAAATGCAATACCCTGACTCTAGGACTACATGTACTTTGTAGTTTAGGCAAGCAATGCAACCCCCTGTCTCTAGGAATACATGTACTTTTTAGTTCAGGCCAGCAATGCAACCCCCTGTCTCTAGGACTACATGTACTTTGTAGTTTAGGCCAGCAATGCAACCCCCTGTCTCTAGGACTACATGTACTTTGTAGTTCAGGCCAGCCGTGCAACCGACTGTCTATAGGACTACTTTGTTTGTTTGCTGTTACATGTAATGTGTTTTAAACAAAAAAATCTGAATCAGGGCTACCACAACTTGAGAAATTTCCCAAGATCTTGGGAATTCACGACCCCCTATTGGGATCTGGGGAATAATTTTGAAAATCAGGCAAAACCTTGGGAAATCTTAACTGGGGGAAAAATTTTGTTATATTTTTCGAAAAAAAGGTTTAGTGTTAGTGTTAGGTTTAGTGTTAACTCTTCTGATGTTAAAGTTTATATTGTGATTTATTAAAAAGTTAATATTTTTTTTAAATTCAATTTTCTCTTTTTTTTAAAAAAATTGAAGATTTACAAATTACATCCAGGTTTTGAATGTTTATTAAAGGGGGGGGGTGGTTAGGCTCGGAAACTTTATCATTATGCTCTTAGACATTAGCAACCATACGAAAAAAATACAGAGTGAACGATAGTGTTCAATCAAGAATCCATGCCATAGTAAAATTTGATTATTTCAATAACTTCTACAATGTGTTCAAAATATAATGCATCTGTAAAAAATCAAGCCTAATTTTCATCAATTAGAAAAAATATTTGTGGATTGAAACACAGGTAACTAAGATATTAAAAGTATAGGCCTACGTTGTAGGATTATAAATGAACAATTTCTTTAAAAAAAAATTTTTTGTTTTGTTTTGAAAAAATCGTTATAATGTAAATTTACAAGAAACAATAAAAATACTTATTGTTTTCATCATAATATCAATCCATTTTAACTACAATTAGTATTTATAAATTTTGCTTAATTGCTTTGCAAACCTCACTTCTAATCAACAGATTTACAATAATAAAAAATCATTTTTGATGAAGAACCTTTTGCCTTTGTAAAAGGAATTCTGTGTTGATTAGCCTTGTAAGCTTTTTTTCCAAGTGACTTCTATTATTGTATTGTAGATGATATTTTTACCAGAGAATTCGGAGGTAATATTTAGTAGCCAAACTCCAGTGGGTATTGATATTTGCTGGTCCAACAATTTGGAACGCCTTTCCACTCGATCTCAGAAACATCCAGATACTGGAGTCCTTTAAAACCGATTTAAAGACACATTTATTTCGCAAAAACCTTCTGGGATGATTTTCTACCATATTTTCCATTTAATGCATATTAGCTGTGTTGTTCACGATTGAAATGGGTTGAAAGACTTTGACATTCTATGCTTGTAATTAGTTTTTGTAGTGTTGCGTTTGTTTTATATGTGGTAAATTATAGATTTGTTTTTTGTTGACTTTGTACCGCTCTTCGAGCCTTTGGGGATGAAGCGTGTTTTTGAAATGAACTTTATTATTATTATTATTATGGATTACAAATTATTTTTGTTAACAATTTTTTTTAAAAATGTGATAAACATGTTTTAAATGTCTTTTTCAATAAATTTCAGTCAATTAATGTACCAAGTTTTTCAAAAGCATTGATTCTATCTATTATTACATTAATTACATAGAAAAGACCCCTTTAAAAAAAAAAAAACTCTTAAATATTTTTATGATCTTGGGAAATCTTGGGAAATTTGTTCACCAAATCTTGGGAAATTTTTTAAAAAGTGAGTGGCAGCCCTGCATTGAATGCGTGGGGTCTTAGCGGTTAACACGGACCTAGTGTCGTGATTCTAGAAAGAATTAAATATATTTGAGGATGTTGAAGAATTGCCCTTGTTTCACTGTGTTGTGTCTCTCTCATTTCAATGTAGGCGTAGAAACAGTGACGTAGGTAGTGCGCCCATATCAGTGGGGGGGGGGGCATTTTAGACAATCTTTAGAGGGATTTTTTTTTTACCACTCTCGGGTTGCACTAAACCTAACACTAACACAAACACTAAACTTAACACTAACACTAACACTTACATTAACACTCACCCTACGACTAACACTAAACCTAAGACTAACACTAAACCTAAAACTTACACTAAACCTAACATTAACACTAACACTAACGCTTACCTTTACACTCACACTAACACTAACACTAAACCTAACACTAACACTAAACCTAACACTAACACTAAACCTAATACTAACACTAAACCTAACACTAAGACTAACACTTACCTTATCACTAACACTAAATCTAACACTAACACTAACACTAAACCTAACACTAACACTAAACCTAACACTAACTCTAAACCTAACACTAAACCTAACACTAAACCTAACACTAACACTAAACCTAACACTAACACTAAACCTAACACTAACACTAAATGTAACAGACCATGTCTGCAATTTTGCACACGAAACCATTAAGTCAGGGAGATGTCATGATTTGAGTACTAAACCATATTAACTTGTATTATTTCACGGGAAAAGATAATAAAACTATATTTGGTACGGCGGAAGTGAGCCGCACGTTTCGGGTGATCAGGGCATCACCTCTTGGAATCGGAGAGAAGATAGGACGTATAACTTGATGTCATGTGAATTTTTCTATGCTGTGGAACATGAAGTGTGTATAAGATATTTGCATTCTGGATTTTATGACCTGGGTATTTGTGCAAGGATTATTATTATTGTTGTAGAAAAGTGATATAATAAAGTACAGTGAATTTAACTGGAAATTAATATCTACTTCTTGTGTGACTGGCTAATTGAGTGAAGGAGTGGAAGAAGTATTACACTACACAAGCCGGCATCCTGAAGCATCAATATAGAAGCAGTTACCATGCTACTAACACAACACACTAATCAACGTGAGTTACACTGATGTCAGTTAAGGAAACCAAGCCCACAGTAATGTCCACCTCAGAAATAGTTAAATTACGAAATGAAGTACGTGACAAAATTCACATAGCCTACGATTTCAAAAAAAAAGGCTATTTTTAGAGCTGATGTTAAATCGACTAACCACCCGAACGTTACCGAAAGAACACAATGAAGTTATGTAACCTACACACAGGAGGGTGATGATTGACAGGTGCTGCTGGGTTTTTATTGTTGTCATTAATGTCAGTTACCTATGTTATTAACTGTGCATTTGCAATACACGTATCGGCAACATAATAGTTAGAAGAGTTGGGCAAGGGTTTTAATTAATACTATTTCGTTTAAATGAAACGAGAATATTATGCATTTTCTTTTTTGTTAAATTAATCTATCCTATCATCATATCATTTGCTGGGTTTTTTTTTTTTTACTTGGCGCTTAATTTCAATGTAAATTTAAAGGCCGTAGAAGTTGTTGTTTTTTCCGAATATTATCCCGGGCAACTCCGGGTATATTGGCTAGTTAATTAATATTTTTTTAGCACCGAGAAGTAGGGACTTTTACCAGATGCAGCTCCACTCCAGCTCCAGTGGTGAGCAACCTTACTTCCAAGAGCCTAGCTTTGCTTTGCAGCGTAGCTATTAATTCATCAACATCAGCCCTAGTTAAACAAAGGTGTTACATCAACACCACGCGCTCGAGCCATGCCCCTCGTTACCTTGTCCATCGGTGGCTTGGACTTCGGCGGTCGCTCTTTGATGTTGGTAGAATTCTTTTACGTCGAGACTCCCTGCTTGGCGTCGTTTGCCAGGCCCACTGTTTCGCGGTTCTCTGGTCAGCTTACACCACAACAAATAACTTTATTCACCAGTTAACGACGAT